TATATATATAAGTATATATATATATATATATAGTATATATATATATATATATATATATATATATATATATAAGTATATATATAAGTATATATTTATAAGTATACATATATATAGTATATATATATATATATATATATATATATATATATATATATATATATATATATATAAGGCAGCAGTCGAGCTCCACTTTACAAAATAACTGCTGCCTTGTAGTTCAGTCCGTGCATGGTCACAATCTATGGGAGTTTAACCTATACAAAACAATCTACTGCTTTTTGGCATTTATGGGATGAAAAAGGCTTCGGGAGTCAGCCCTCAGAAAAAAATCCGGAGCCGGAGTCCCAGAGGGAGTTCGTTAACGCTTGCAACCTCGTTCTGGCAGCTCCTGCGACGCCGCTAGTGCCAAAATGCATCAATCTTTGCCGTTCATTTGCATCCATCAGCTGTGTGGAGAGAGGGAGCCTGCTGCATGGACAACAGCTTACTCCTCATATTCTTTCACCCAGGCAGGATAAAGTAAAAAATGGCAAAGTCGACATCGACTGATGTTGGCCATGTCGTATATGTACACGAGTATATGTATGCACACATACGAACACACACATATATGTATGTAGATATATGGACATATAGAAATATGTATATATATATATATATATATATATATATATATATATATATAGACATATAGAATTATATATATATATAGATTTATATATATATATATATAAATTTATATATATATATATATATATATTTGTACAGTGTGTGTGTGTGTGTGTGTGTGTGTGTGTGTGTGTGTGTGTGTGTGTGTGTGTGTGTGTGTGTGTGTGTGTGAGAGAGTGAGTGAGTGATTTTCCGTTGTTGGTCATTCTCATTTTCCATTTATTCCTCATATTCTCCCCATACCCAATACACTTTCTAAATAATAGCAAAACGACCACATTGTTCGTAAAAAAATAGATGTTCGAGATATATTGCATTATGTCAGTTGCAATTCAGCATAACAACCCGATTTCTGATGTAACCGAAAACTTGACGGTTGTGGACTGTGATTTTTATTGGATGATTTCTCTGTCATATTATCTTTGGGTGCACCGGGGAAGGAGAAAGTTGTAGAAACAAAAGAATGCAATAATTACAAAGAACATTTAAATGGAACCCCTGTCATTTTTGCTTCTTACTAAATGTTACACATATATTGCGTCTTGTTTTCTGTGTGAACAATCTCATGCATTAGAACTTTTTCATCCGATCTTAAATACAAAACATGCAGTCTGTATTGTCACTGCCATCAATATTGTTATCACCTGCTGTTTTCACATAATTTGCTATTAAAACTGATCACTTCCGCGACATCATCAACACTGTCCTTTCACCAACATGACTTTTTTGCTACAAATTATGCAACCAATCCAGCCGACGAGATCTTGCACCCATTTGAGCTCACTGCTTACATGTGTAGCGACAGGTCTCAAAACATTCCTGCGGATGCATCTCACAGGCCGAGCTACAGTACCTCCGTCGCCAGGATAACAACTTCTCAAGATTGCCAAGACCGGCCCGAAATAGGCCAGTGTCCTGGTGGCGTCGTGCTGCGTAAAACATTTTTTTTATCTATCGCATTCCATCTTTAGCCCATTAGTTCTAATTTTAATGGTTGGTAACCAACACTAGACCATTGTCCTTGAAAATGCTATAATCATGCCATTACATACTCAAAGATCTCCGATTCTAATCACTTCAGTGACGACCGACCGTGAGTAATATATACTAGTAAAGTTTTTTCAGTACACGGTAAGGTCTACATACATATGACTTTTTATGTTTGTCTGTATATATATATTTCTTTTATACATGTTTATATAAAGACGAAGACACACGCACACGCGCACGCACACGCACCCCCCCCCCCCCCCCCCCCCGGGTACCGAGGGCGGAGTAGAGCCGAGCTGGACCCCGTATGTCGTCGTCTGTCTGCCCTTGTCTCTCCTGCGTCGCCTTCTCTGATGAGACATGTCCTTTTATAAGATGGTCCCTTCGAGGTGTTGACTTGTTAAGCCTCCGGGCTAGTACAGTGGTAACGTGTCGGCCTCTCATCCGAGGGGTCGGCGGGTCGCGCCCGGCGCAGGCGCGAGAAGTTGCAATTGTCGCCTGGAGGTCACTGCTGTGGCTGGGCACCACGGTGGGTAAGGACTAAGCTCATCCGAGTCAGCACCAGCTGACACACTGTTAGCGAGTCGACATTAGTCGACACAGGCCGGGCTCCCCCCCCCATATCCCGGGCGAGGCTCAGCTTCGCATATCGGACTTATCCTTAAGTTGACTTCTGTCCATAAGTGTCAAAAGGCATCCGCTCAAATGCTACAGTAAGGCAGTTGATGGGGATAGAGGTGTGAAGCGTCTTCCGGCCTTGCTATGTATTGTTTACATTGCTCGGCCACACACAAGGCTTGTTCTCGAGCCGTCTGCAACACCTGAAACACTAAGAGGCACGTAGGGATACAAGTTCCGCTATGCATCTACAAATGGCTCCTGGTGATCCGATGGTCGCTAAGGTCTCGCATGCCAGAGTAACAGTGTGGGGAGGTTTCGCACTGAGGTTCAACATTCAGTAGCAATGTAGGTCGCATCGTCTTCAGAGGCTGAAATATAAGTGTTAGGGAGGTTAAGGAGGAGGATAATAATGTGTTTGTCAATCACCTTACGAAGATGCCAGGAAAATAAG